AAAAAAATATTATATTTAATAAGCTTAGAAGATAAATGAAGAGTAATTTTTACACGTCTACCTTAAGTCTGTATTAGGTTGGAAACTTCTCCATTTTTACATTTCGCAAACTCTTGACTATATTAAACATCAAACTTCCGCCCCTCTCATTGACTATTGGGTATTTCTGCTAATGACAGGTAGAAGTGACAGGTCAAGATGGCCAGCCTCTTTACTGATCTCAGCTGCCTCTTCTCCTGCACAAAGTCTTGCACAGCAAACCCAGGCAAAGCCCAGCAGCTCACTGGCCTCCCTGAAGCATGCCTTGTTGTCCCCTCTGGGCAGTCCGACAGCTGCCATCTTGCTTCACACTTGCTCTTGCTTTCAAGAGTGACTTCAAGTACCATATCCTCCCTGGCCCTTGACACCATCACGCTCTTCTGCTTCACCAAATGCCCACCCCTTCCTACCCCTCTGCATTGTCCTCTTATAATAAATCTTCCTGCCAAATACACCCTCAATCTGTAAAATATTCTCATGTGTCTCCGTTCTTTCTTTCCTGGAATATATTTCCTCTCCATCTTGCTTCACACTTGCTCTTGCTTTCAAGAGTGACTTCAAGTACCATACCCTCCCTGGCCCTTGACACCATCACGCTCTTCTGCTTCACCAAATGCTCACCCCTTCCTACCCATCTGCATTGTCCTCTTATGATAAATCTTCCTGCCAAATACACCCTCAATCTGTAAAATATTCTCACGTGTCTCAGTTCTTTCTTTCCTGGAATATATCTCCTGGAATATATTTCCTCAGTTTAATGAAGAGGGATCATCATTTGGGGCAGTATGGGATAGAGGTGGTTAACCCCTGACCTTAGAAATGAATTAAGATGAATGTTTATCGTTTAGTGGTTTTATCTTTTCTGTTTTAAAATTCTAGAACCCACTAAGTAATTGCAACATTATGTTCTAAAATTGATAGAGGTTCTTTAGTATGAACACATATTACATGCAAAACCATTGACCACTGCTATCAAGAATATAAGTGAAAAGTTCTGACCTTAAGTAATTCAAAAAGGAAAGAAATTTAAGGTCTAGTTAACACAGAGTAACAAATGTTTTCCTGTGTCTTTTAAGTGGGGTAAACATGACTGAAACTTGCATGGGTTTCAGGGGTAAATACGAGATATTTACAGAGAAGACTTTAAAGCACAGTTTTAAATGCAGTTCTGGTCTCTAAAACTTTAAAAATGCTGGAAAGTTGCCATGACATTCAAATGACAAAATAATTTTTAAAAAACACCTTTGTCCTTGGAGAATTTTGATGAAAGTTATAGCTCACATGTAGCTGCTTGAGCTAAACAGTGCCAAGAAATTATTTTTAGCTTAAAGTCTAAAAATCATATGCAGTACTTTATTAACTTAAACTGAGCACTATCTCCCACACTATGTACTTTGATTAAAATCCACCCATTATATAAAATGCTCTTATGAAATATGCTATCAAGGCTAAACATTAACTATAAAGATCCAGCTGATTTAATTATAGCCTTAGATGCCATTCTTCAAACAAGTGATAAGATTTTTATGGCTCATATTAAATACTAGTCGTCAAGCTCGAGTTTGCAAATTATGACCTCTAACTTTGTCAGCTAAATTTTTGTAATGAGAACTTGCTTGACTAGCCTCACTGCTTGGTTAGTAAACTAAACACCTGTTGCTTACAAATAACAGCCTACTTGTACATCTTTATGATTGCCAACAGTTAATCAGTTAAGTAAGTCACTGATCCATGAAACAGAAACATTGGGTTTCTTCCTCCCTTCGTTCTTTCCCTTACTCCTGTCCCAGTAATTCCCCTAGTGTTCTTTTCAAGGTTTCAGGCAATGCAACTTAAAAATATTTCAAAGGTTCAGTGGTTATGAGTGCATATTGCTCTTGTAGAGGACCCAAGTTCAGTTCCTACCATCCACCAAGTCCAGGAGGAATTGATGTGTCTGACTTCTGTGGGTTCTGAACTCACTTGTACATTCTCTCTTCTCTCTCTCTCTCTCTCTCTCTCTCTCTCTCTCTCCCTCTCTCTCCCTCTCTCTCTTTCTCTCTTCCCTTTCTTACCCACCCAGCCATGTACATACATACATATAATTTTAAAAAATAATAAAAATATGTCTTTAATGCCATGCCTGGCATTGTGGTGAATACTTTTAATCCTAGCATGCAGGAGGCAGAGGCAGGTAGATTTCTATGAATTCAAAGCCAGCCTGGTCTGCACAGCAAGTTCCAGACCAGCAAGTATTACATTATGAGATGCTAACTGAAACGTAGTTCAGTTCAAGTTTGCATTCAAGTAGGGTTTATTTATTTATTTATTTATTTATTTATTTATTTATTTATTTATTGGTGGAAAATAAATATTCTTTTGGATTAAATGGAGTAGCAACATGTTTGGAAACTTTAAGTTTCATTCCTAAGAACGAAAAAGACATTTTAGAGCATTTGAGTATCTTATGGAGCTCACAGACTATACTGTACAATAAACATTTCTGAAATTTAGACAATTTTAATTTAAAAAATTCCTGGTGCAGTACTAATGAAGAAAGGAGAATACAGCAGCCTTAGAACTTTCCATCTGCCTCACTCACTTCTTTGAATAAGATTTCTAGTTTCACTAAGATGACTGAATGGTTTCCCGAGCTTACAGAGAAACATCTAACAGAACACACAGGTATGGCTTGCCTGTTGTCATGGAAGCTGTCCAGAGTTCATGAGCAAACAGGCAAGGAAGAAGGACACTGACTTAAACACTTTCAATATGCCGCTCTATCCGGGACATTGACATTTTGTTGGTGTGAGTGATGATGGGTACAACAGAGAGGCAGTCCACACACATGCTCCGACAAAAAAATAATGGGGATTCAATGAAAAACTAGAAGTTATTGATCGGAGTATCTCCCTAAAAAAGCGATGTTATTTTTAATGTAACAACACAAAATGTGCCATCTCATACAAACTGCTGTCTAATTGGGGAATTTTGTATGTATGTGGTAGGGGTCATTTATGTGGCACTTATTTTTCTGAATCAAGTCTCATCTTGTAGTTAACATCACACCTAATGAATTAAGGTGGTATTATGTAAGACGTGTGCATATGCATGTGTATTTATACATACACAAACACACACATATTTTAATAAAGGAGAAAGAGCTTTGAAGTTTCAAAGAGAAGAAGTACACTTTTCAAAGACTTACTGTACTGCTTTAAGTGACACTTTCCCTACTGTGAACTGGTAATATTATTAGCCAATAAACATAGGAAAAGAGGTTAACAAATTATTTCATATTCTCATCAGATGAGTTTGAGAGTTTTTAAAAGGTCTTTTAAAACATATGGAACATATTTTTATGTTTGATTTCTTTTCCGAAGGCACATGCTTACTTGGATTGTGGACATTAAACACAAGATGAGTACATTCCTCCCCTTCTCTGACTAGTGACTCTGAGAGGAATCAGTGTTGAGCTTTCAGTGTCTTGGGGTGGAAACATGCAAGTTCCTGCTTCCTGTGTGGTCCAACAGAGGATCCTTCTAACAGAAGATGACTCAGTACAAAGTCTGGCAATAGTTAGGGTCTTCCCTGTACCTCACTAAAATGAAGCTATATCTTATTCTGCCCTGAATCAGAAATAAACATGTAACTGCCTCACTTCATATTGAAAAGTAATCAGGCTGGTAGGTTTCAATGTAGAACAAAACTAGACCGTACATTGACAGAACCATGAATATTAAGTTAAATTTTATGAATATTAAAAAGAAGTTGGGGGAGGGGCTGGGAATGAAGCTCAGTGGTAGAACAAGTGTTTAGCATGTACAAGGCCCTAGGTTCAATCACCAAGATATCTATCTATCTATCTATCTATCTATCTATCATCTATCTATGTATCATCTATCTATCTACCTAACATCTATCTATCATCTATCTACCTACCTATCATCTATCTATCATCTATCTAGCTATCATCTATCTATCCACTTATCTATCATCTATTTATCTATTATCTATCATCTATCTATCCATTTATCTATCATGTATCTATCATCTATCTATCGTGGTAGAACAAGTGTTTAGCATGTACAAGGCCCTAGGTTCAATCACCAAGATATCTATCTATCTACCTATCATCTATCTATCTATGTATCATCTATCTATCTACCTATCATCTATCTATCATCTATCTACCTACTTATCATCTATCATCTATCTAGCTATCTATCATCTATCTACTTATCATCTATCTATCCACTTATCTATCATGTATCTATCATCTATTTATCTATTATCTATCATCTATCTATCCACTTATCTGTCATGTATCTATCATCTATCTATTATCTATCATCTATCTATCTATCTATCTTTCTATCATCTATCTATCTACCTATCATCTATCTATCATCTATCTATATATCTATCATCTATCTATCATCTATCTATCATCTATCATCTATCTACCTACCTATCATCTCTCTATCATCTATCTAGCTATCATCTATCATCTATCTATTCATTTATCTATCATATATCCATCATCAATCTAGCTATCTATCATCTATCTATTATCTATCATCTATCTGTCTATCTATCTATCTATCTATCTATCTCTATCTATCTATCTATCTATCTATCTATCTATCTATCATCTACCTGGATTTCAAAGTGACTATCCTCCCTCTGGAGGCATTTCTAAGATAATTTCTAATTGGTCTTTAGAAATACACTATACAGACAAGACTGCATAGGTACTGAGGAATTGATCATTAAACAAATCTTGTCTGGGTTTTATTAATCATTTCTCTTTCCAGAAAACATTTGCCTAGACTTTGAGCTAATTGATTTTTGGTTTAGATGTACATGTGTTACTTATTATCGACTTGTCATATAAAGATCATTTTTTCAGATTACTTTGTGAAATCCATTTTCATATCATGTACTAAAGTAAATTTCAGATAAAGCTTTACTCCAAAAATGGAAACCATAAAAATGCTAGAAGAAAATGTAGACAATGTCTTAACACATTTCTTCCTAGGATTAAAAACAAAGGGAAAGGTATAATCAAACTTTGAAATAAAAAGGCATACTCTAAAGTTTGTTTTTAAATTGATAAATATTTGAAGGATTTTTAGTAAATTCTAATCAAACTGGCAACAGATTACAAAACAAAGCTTAGAACAACCTTGAGATGCAAAAAGAATAGTTTAAAATAATGCTTGGATTATTTTAATCCCTTTGTTCAGGATCACATTTCAATATAACAGTCTGGACTGAGTGTCTAGATAAGCTGCTCTATTATTCTTTTAAAATGCTTCTCGCAGCACTAAAATCAGTTGGCTATCTTTCTACAAGGTAAAAATCCTTTGAAAAAAATGGGTCCATTTAAATGATAGGAAAGACAGACTTCAAATATGCCCAGGCTTACCCTAGAAGAGAAAAAAAATCATGTATCTTTTCCCTATGAAGTTATTCAGATATTCATTATATAACTATGTGTTGATTTTAAGCATATTTCTATATTACCATTAGTGAACACAAAAACTATTTTTCCTTTTTGAACAGAAGTACTTGGGTTCATGATTTGTTTTGGTAAAGCCCAATACTAGCTTCTTTTCTGTTGCAGTGACAAACACCATGACCAAAAGCAATTTGCAGGATGAAATAATTACTTTGGTTTCACTACTGGGTCATAGTTCATCACTGAGGGAAGTCAGAGCAGACACTCAAGCAGGAACTTGAAGCAGAAACTGTGGAGAAACACTGCTTTCTGGCTTGCTTAATCAGGACATGCTTTCTTATACAGCCCAGGACCATCTGCCAAGGGATGGTACTGCCCATAATGGGCTGGCTCTTACATCAATTAACAATCAAGACAATGCCCCACCAGACATGCCCATAGGCCAAATCTGATTCAAGCAATTCCTCAATGACTCTAGTCTGTGTCTGTTCACAATGGAGGTTAACTGGGGCACTAATTAAGCTTTCAAACTTCTGAACTCTTTGGAAGCTTTGGAATAAAGAGGACATAGAATGAGACAATCTTCACAAAAGCCAGGTTACAGAATCACCGAAAGAACTGGGTCCACAGAAATTTGGGTCTTGGCACCTCAGATCACTTAAAAGAGGTGATGCTTAGTAAGTCTGAGAGTTAGTATAACTTTGAAACGATGTGTTTCAAGGACTATTTCAAAAGTACTTAGAAATAAGATAAACCATTTAAGTTATAAGTGGACTACTATAAAAGAAATAGCTACTAAAATAAAACGTCAGCCTTAGTTTTAGAGAGGTATTATAAATTGGTCATACAGGGAATTGTGAGTTGGGAAAAATAGAGAAATATTAGACAACTGTTTAGAACCTTACCTATCTGATTTCTGCCTGAAGAATAAAATGCATTGACGACCGCTGCTCCACTTATCCACCTATTGAAGACGTAAGAACTTGTTAAAAAGATATCACATTAGCTCATTCAATCCACAAAATTAAATGATTTTTTGCTGTTGTTGTTGGTGGTTTTTTTTTTTTCGGGGGGTCTTTTTGAAACAGGGTCTCCCTGTATCCCCAGCTGGCCTGGCACTCACTATGTAGATCAGACTGGCCTTGAACTCACAGAGATTTTCCTGCCTCTGCCTCCCGAGTGCTGGGACTAAAGGCCTGTGCCACCATGCTCGGCCACAAAAATAAATGTTAACTTTCTGTTCGAAATACAATCAGCAAACTAAAATTAGCATACTACAGTTAAAACCCATTTGAAAATATTTCTATTTCTCGAAAATTCAACATAGAACCAGAACTTCAATCTGTCATTTCATTTACATAAATTTTTGTGGAGGCAACTGATGGTGCAAAATCTGTCTTTTCAGAAACTGTAGTGGGTTAAGATTATGTTCAAATATGTTTAACTTCAGACTTCTAAAACTAAATAACAATGCTAACAATTCTAGGACAATTGATAATTTACTGAAAAATGGATTAGTAAAACTTCAGATGTAACTACTTCAAAAATTGTCATTTTTAGTTCACAAAGAACCTTTTTGGGAAATCAGACATCTGGCAGCTCCAATCAACCACCTGTAACTCCAGCTCCAATCGGATCTGTTGCTTTTGGCCTCTGAGGGCACCTACAGTCACATGCTCGTACCCCACTACATACACATAATTAAAAACAATAAATCTTTAAATATATTTATAAAATACAACATGGTAGCTAATTGAGCAAAGGTATATCTTTGTGTGACTCTAAAGTGAAATCCATGTCATTATTAAGTAAAGCTGTCTGATAGTCTATGCCATGGCTTAGGCTCTGTACAGAAATTAGAATTTTATAAAACACAGGTCCTAATTGTAGGAGACTCTAGTTGAGGACATGAGGAAGAGAGGCAAATAACTAAGCTATAAGAGTGCATGAAAAACTGAAGAAAACCTCAAAACAGAACAAGAACAGGTCCCAGATGATGGTTTGAAGGAAGAAGGGTGGGAGCGATTGCTCTGTATCTTCCTTCTCAGATGTTCGGGAAGATGCCTCTCAATAACCACATATTAAGCACTTAAGTGTTTTCCCATATTTTTTGTTTGTTTGTTCACTTTCTGTTTGAAACAGGGTCTTACTGTAGCCCTAGCTGACTTGGAACTTGCTTTGCTGACCAGACTGGCCTTGATCTCACAGAGATCTGCCTGTCTCTGCCTTCTGAGTGCTGGGCTTAAGGGCATGTGCTACCATACCAAGCTCTTATCTTATTTATTTTAATTAAACTACTTGCTTACCACACAATTTGCAATGAGTCACAAGAAAAGAAAATATTTGTGGACTCAGAGACGTTAGATTAAAAACCTAGGATTATAAATTATATAGAAGTAGATTTCATTTAAGTGACTAGCAAAAATGGTGCATCTGGACTATACTTGTCTACATTCACACAGGTACCAGGACTCAAGTTCACATGAAGACCTCTGGAGTTGGCAAGAGTCAGAATGGAGAAAGTGCTCAGACCATTCTTAAGAAAACACCGTTTCATGACTCAACACTTTCATAGCAAATATGGTAACAAATATATGCAATCAGTATATAATTATTAAATTATATGCGATCAGTATATAATTATTAACTTTTTTACTGTTATAAAAGTTCATTAAGCATATTTCCAAGTCTCAGAGGCTATAGGGTTCCCTTTCTTAATTATAAACTTCAGATTTGGTAGAAGTAACTGCGCATTTTATGGGTAATTACAAATGATCATTGCAAATTGTTTGGCTCTGAACTAGTCATATGTCCAATTAATAAAATAGAAAATGTACCAACTCAAACTGTTTTAAAATTAAATGTTCCTGCTGAGAAGAACCAGACACTTGAAGGTAATGCTGTAGAGAACACACCTCAGAACAAGACCAAGACATGGAAGGGTGAACTTTGCATGATGTTAATGATGTTACCTACTTATGTTTATTGCTTTTGTAAAAATAAATGTCATCCTTTTAGAGCTTTTCTGCCCTTCTGATACATTACTTTGAGGAGTTTAAGATTGCATTTTGATTAATGTTTGTAACTTTCCAGCAGGGAGTATTTTACATATTAAAATATCTATTGTGAATTATAGCTTCTAGAAAATAGGTGGCTATTTACGACCACAAACACTCGAATTATGGCGGTTGGGTTTACTGAGCACCAGCGTGTAATACTTTGCCTTTACTTCCCGAGCTCTCTCGTGATGTGTCCTTAGACCACTCTGGGGAATTACTCAGATTCAAAAGTCTACAACATTTTGTCCTAGGTCATGATCAGAACTTAAGAATTGTGATTAGATTATTACATCGTAAGAAGGGTAATGACAAGGGTGACAGACTTGGAATCAGGTATTTGTGGTCAGTTGTGAAATATCTCACTATATCAAAAGCTAAATTAGCAAAACAAATAAAATGCTTTTCAATCTTTTGGCTTGGACTCACTTCCATAAATGGACATGCTTTCATTTGAAAACAGAGTATTTTGACCATGAAGGGAGCACAGGAAAGAGAAAATGCATAGAATGCTCTAAATAAAGGCTCTCACGTGGTACCTCAGGATGCCTTCTAAGTGTGCAGGCCAGACCCAAATAGCCTCCTAAGTGCAGCCTCAGACCTGGGAGAAGACATACAACCCTTTGTTATCTTCTGGCTCCAGTGATCTGTGTGTGTGTAAGTGTGGACAGGATAGTGGGGAAGTAGAGCCGGAATACAGGAAATAAAAAGTTTATTTTTAATTTTCTAAATTGTATTTTTAACTTCTGAAACGTGGTTTTATCAGGTGAGCTTATTTTGCTTTGAGGCATCAGCAGTGGAGCGAAGCAGGGCTGCTATAAACCAAGTGGCCAGAGACAAAGTCACAACATGAGTGGGAGGCAGAACTGAAAAACTCTGGAGAGAGGGGTGGGGTGCTTGTCTTCCACACTCATCACCCTGCAGAAGTTAGGTTGTGATTAAATGAGGGCACGTACACTTCATTTTTATGGCAGACGTGGACATTCAGATCTAACAGCCTTTTGGATAAAATGAATGCACAGGATTGCAAAAGCACTTAGAATAAAATATCTCTTTCAGACACTTTTGTGTAACTTTAACACTTAAAAAACAATACAAAACAAAACTATTAATTTCCTTCTCCTTGTAAGTGTTCAGTTCTCAGCATCTATTCTGAAAGCAACTTCTTTCAATTTAGCAGTACGATAAATAGACTTTTTTGTGCCTTCTTCAAGTATCCCATGGTGGAAAAGGGAACTCTCTTGAGATCACCAAAATCACTATTCTCTTTTAAACTTACTAATATTTTCTCATCATACTTCAGTGCTTCCCACACACTTTCATGGTCTTTCAAATCAATCTTAGAGCATAGATGGCACCTCCAATCTACAGGTGTGGAAAATGACGGAATGCATAGTTACCAAACTCTTCTTTCTAGTACAGATACAAGTGGGGAAAGAATGTATAAAGACAAAGAGGACTTGTTTGTTTTCTTTTTCAAATTCCCCACCACCAAACTGTTGATTTGCATCATACACAGAATTTCATTATAATGATTAATACCATTTTCTTGTCAATCTATTTTAAAATGAAAATGCGAAGAGGACTCTCCTTTTCTCCAGCCTTCCTTATCATTCTTCCTTCTTCCCTCTTCCTATTCTGCCCCTTCTTTCCTGCCTTTCTACATTCTTTCTTTTTGGCACAGTCTTGCTCTGTAGCCTAGGCTGGCCTCCAACTTGGAATCCTCCTGCCTTATCCTGATAAGTACTAGGCTCACAAGTGTGTGACAGTATACCAGATGAAGATTATGATTTCTTACTATTGTAAGACGGTATCTCCTTGCCCTAACATATTTAGGATACTGGCCTCTATACCATCCTTAAATCACTGTAAAAGACTCATCAGGGCCAGACTATGCCAACAGCTACTCTTTTATGGCACCTAAGTTACGTGCCAGGCATGTTATACAACATACAACAGAACAGTCATTCCAAGGCAAGGTATATGGTAGTAACTCAATTTACAAAGAAAAAAAAAAATCAAAGCTCAGAGGTTATCTAAGTTTTCAGCACTAAATAAGTATCAATAATCCTAATTCAGGCCTGCCTGTCCCCTGAAATCTCCCACCACCTCTTCCCAGGTCCACAGCTCATGTTTCTTCTCCTGTTCCTTGGGTACAATACTTTAGCCCCAAGCAAAGGTATAGTAGAACTAAAGAACTTCATTGAACTGTTGCCTCCCAGTAGCGACCATGACAAGGACTATCGGTGGCTTATCTGACTGAGGACAAGACACTCATTCTGATACTGAATCTGGAGAATCCACTTTTCTTTCAACAAACAATAGTAGAAAGTCAACACATTAACTTTCTCTGCACACTTGACAGCTATCTGCATGTGATTCTAAGCCAGGTGAAAGGGCAAAATCATCTTAACGGATGATAACTTTATAGTGGTGTGGCGTAGCTGCACATATGTGCACACATACACAAGAAGCATGCCAACTTAAGAGATTTCCAATTTTGGAGACAGGTAGGTCTCCTTTTTCTTTTATAATTCTCCTGCTATAAGGTAGTCCTGAGAATTTACTTCTCTGAAATAATTAAAACCTCTTTTATCGAAATAACCCTCAGCACTTAGCTAACATGACATCAGGGTATCATTTGTCTAGATCACTAAAAGGTAACCTCACCCAGGCAGGAACAGTCCAAGTTATATTTTTAATTGAATCCTGAGGACTTAGAACAATGTTGGAAACATGGCAGACACTCAACAAATATATGGGCCTATCAATGAGTCTTCTACAGATAAAATGGATTTTGTGTATAGTCAAAAAAAATGCGTTACACAGACTATGCTGCTTTTGTGGAAGTATAAGAATGTAAAGCCAATTCATCTTTTCCCGTATGTGTACATGCTGAGCAGCCCAGGGCTGATACTACCATGGGAAACTCAGTGATTCATTTACCTTTGTTCTGACCCTTTCGAGCTGAGTAATATTAGCTGAGTCAAACCATTTTTTCCCCCATTTTTCCATCTACATTTGCGGATGTTCCTTTGTTTCTCAAGTCTCCAGCACTCCAAACACATCCATCCACTCTCTACTCTGTCACCACATGGACCAAGTCCTGTGTAACTATTTTCTTACTCCAAGTACAATGATGCAGAATTCAGGAAACATCAATACGGGGGATAGTTTAGAGACAAGCGGTACCTCTGGTGTATTACTAATTGGTCGTGTGATGTAGAGAAGTTATTGAGGGAAACATCCCAGCTCCTCCGCGAGGGCCCTAGAATTCGGTGCTGGAAATAACCCTCAACATACTAGATAGTACAGGCAACCTGCTCATGTTGTGAATAAGGAAACCTTGTGACTTTGAAAAGGCCACAGATAGTAATTGGTAGGACAGAGGTACTACAAGAATACCAGTGATTCACTGCAGTAACAGAGCTGCAGGATCTCTTCACAGGGCACCGTCCTCCTTACCACTCTTGGTGGCATTGCCCTTTCAGGAAGACTTAGACCATCACAGCTCCTGGGCTATTGGGATTCCATTTATTTCAGAGCTTGTCACAACCCAATTACTTAGATTAGAAAACCCAGCAGGCCTTAAGCAAGCAAGAAGAAAAATGGATCGGCCACGATTGTTTTGTTTTCACTGACTTCTCTATTCGACTTATTATTAATTTAAATTCTGACTGTTGTACCCTGAGAACACTTTACTAATAGGTAAAGGTCTAATTGCGATTTTAAAAAACAGTTCTGTGCTAGGACTTCGTTTTCCGTATTGGCATCAATCAAACCCCACGTTTTTTACATCTTAACCTCTTTCCTTCAGCCGCAGGCTCCCTAGTGAATGTCAACATCTTACTCATGTTTTCATCCTTGACCATGTTTATTTAGCAGAGGGCTTTGCGTGTAGTATCTGCCTAACAAATGTTCACTGAATTGGCTCCTGTCAGTGTCAGTGTGTTTTGATTTTGACATAGGAGGAGAAGCAAGAGAGATGCAGCAGCAGTGAAATGAATCTCCACAGTTTATGGAAAGTAACTCAGGCATCAACAAGTCACAATTCACAAATACTGACACTGCCCATCAGAGCTATATCACAGAGAGTTCAGTTCTGAGAAATCAACACAATAACAGTTAGTCTAGCACTGGAGTGCTGAGGCAGGAGGACTGTCAATTTGAGGCCAACCTGGCCTATAGAGAGACAGACCTTGTCTCAAAACAAAAGTAAATAGTAAGTCAATATCAAATCTAAAGTCACCGGAAGAAAATCTTTCTGTTTGTTCTTGAACATCTCCCTACTTTGAGATTTGTTTTTGTTCTATTAACTCTAAGTGAATCATCTTGTTAGTAGAAGTAAATTATTTCAGACACATCACTAGGTAATTTTGCCAAGGGTTATTATAGTCCCAATTCAGTATTATTTCCATCTGACAACTGGACATACTTGAATTTCTTCTGAACTTGTGCCAAATCCTTAGACTATAGCACATTTAGGATAACTTTTTAATATTATACATAAGCATATGGAAACCATATGAAATTATTATTATTATTATTATTTTTGGTCTTTTTGAGACAGGGTCTCCCTGTAGCCCCAGCTGTCCTGGAACTCACTATGCAGACCAGGCTGGCCTTGAACTCACAGAGATCCGCCTGCCTCTGCCTCTGGAGTACTGGGATTAAAGGCATGCACCACCACCATGCCCTACAAGGAACCATATGACCTTTTAAATTTTAAATTCCTGTTTCCTGTAGGTCTAGGTTGTTCACAAGGGCAAAGAGAGACCCTTTAGCCAAATGATTAACTTGAATATATCATATGCAGACTCCGTGACTGCAAGTTTTTAAATGTGTTTAACAGAGGGGAGAATGGCAGGAGGCAGGTGTTGTTGGGTGGGGGGAAGGGATAATGAGGACGAGGATGCTTGGATTGGAGAGGGAGGTCAGATGGTTGTGGGGAGAGAGTAGAGATGAATGGATCTTGGGGGGCTAGGGAAACCAGAAGGAAATGTGTTGCCTCCGAAACCCCCTGAGAAATGCACATATAGTGCCTGAACATTAGTGCATATGTATACCCGGGGGCTGTATGGCAAGGAACACAGTGCCAGACAGGAGAGACCTCTCTTTGAATGGTTGGTCAGAGTGGTCTAAGACACTCCCAAAATAACACAGGTTATTGCCACAGCTCTTGGTTATCTCTCAGAACTAGAAGATAAGACCCTACTGCTGATGACAGGACATACTTCGGACACAGGACTTAGAATAATGGAGCAAGAACTGACCTGGAAACCTTCTACCTGACATTTAGCTCTCATAGTTTTGGAGGATACCTTGTAAGCTGCTATCATAGTTTTGGAGGGAAAAAGATCAATCAATGATCCAACCCAGCCCTAAAGCCTAATAACCATAACAACCAGTACAGTAAACTACCTCTATTTGTTCAATAGTGGCACTGTTATCTGGGGGGTAATCAACAGCTATCTAATTGGACTTAAAGCCCTCTTGGGCGGGAATTCACAGGTGACATTGTAAACCCACTCAAATACACATGGCTGGAGAGATTATGGACACGAGAGAAAACCCTCCCTTGGTCACATCTCTAGACAAATGATATTTCTTACCATATGCCAAATATGGATCCTTATATTTACAGAGAAGTCTACTGCACACCACTCACCAAAGAAGCTTCTTTTTGCTACAGACAGAGGATACTGCAGAATTCCACAACTGGTCAGACACGGAGAACACACCTCTGAGAGATGCCCAGTCCTAGGTGACATATCTACAGTGGAGTCTCTACACCTAAGACTTGCGGAACATAGTGGAACAACAAGGGGTAGAGAGAAAACTAGTGCAGGCCTAAAGTCTCACCAGTTCCTTATACAACAGAGGAGTGCAAAAGGCCACAACTTTTAGAGGATAAGAGACTGTAGAGTGTGTGTCCCTAGATAGGATTCCTCTGTCAAACCTTGCCCGCCCATGACTTAGGGACCATTGTGGAGGAAGGGATGGAAAGTTTGTAAGAGCCAGGGTTGGTGCATCAGCATAGGGAAGCAGAGGTTTTAAGGCCACTGGAAGCTTACACATGTGAACTTGTGACAATGGAGGCATCGAGCACAGGATCTTTGCCAACTTAATCACTCAAGGGCCTGAGTGGAATGAGGGAAATGGGTGGCAGGTTGAGCCTAGTCTGGGAACTATTGGAGACAGATTACTACTGGGTGAGGGAGAGTAGACCTTACCAACGATCTCTAGATAGACTGACTAGGCTCCAGTGGATGAATTTGCACCAAAGAACATTTGGGTACAAATGCTTGATAGGATAGGACTTAACATATATGAGGTCTGGTGGGCATGGAGGGGGTAGAGGGTCTAAATTTGATTAAGAACTATTGTATGAAATGAACAAAATCAATAAAAAATTAAAAAAAATATCGTAAATTTGAAAAAAATGATATATATGACTCAAGAAATGAGGGAATTTTGAAGATACTTTAGTGAAAAACTTTGCTTCAGTGCCTGGCCCATGATTTTAGTCTCATACAGTTAGATGTTCTCAGAGTTCTTTAATAGAAGGAGATATTGCAGTTTTAAGAGTTTTCCAAGGCTCTGTCATAGACGAGCAAAAATGCCCGCTTCTGAATTAATGATTTAGAAAATGGAATGTACGTACTCATCTTTGTCCACTTTTTCTCGAAGCTTCTTTAGTTGTTTACTTTGGCTGAATTTCAAATTTTGAATTATGTTCTCAAAGTATTCCTCTTCTTGGTAGTTCAACTATATTGCATAAAAGGTTTGAGGAGAAACATTAATCCAGGATCATCATAGTTTTGCTAGGAAACAAGTTAGTACAGTTAAGAAACAGCATTAACAACAAGGAATGATTTATTCCCAGTTGGCCTGATTTTATATTCTAGGTCAGCCTTATTGTAGCTGAAACACAACTTCAGGATATTCTTTTATGGCCAATCAAATGAAGCCAAAGGCCAGGCCAGCCTCATACTATTTAAATATCATTCTCCATACCACAGACCTAGATGACAACAATCTCATACAGTACCCACTGTGTCTGGCTCTGTTCTTAGTACTTTAAATTTATATTATACTTGTTTAATTTTTATGATAATCTTCTGAACTGAAGACTATGATCATCATTTGTAAGTTGAAGAAGGTGAGCCAGAGACATTTCTAGTCACACTCAGGTTTAAAGGAAGTGGGATTTGGGTCCAAGGTGTTTGGCTGGAGTATATCTGTGTCTTGCCCAGTCTGTTTTTTGTTGTTGTTGTTATGTTCAATTATTTATTTATTTTTTTTTTGAGGCAGGGTCTCCCTGTAGCACCAGCTGACCTGGAACTCACTATGTAGATCAGGCTGGCCTTGATCTCACAGAGATTCTCCTGCCTCTGCCTCCTCTTGTCTGCTGGGATTAAAGGTGTGTGCCACCCCCACCCACCAGTCCGCCCTTGTACCCTTGTAAGGGTCTATGAGACTTGTTAGTCTTAGGAAGCTCTTGTCTAAAAGAAAAAAGCCAGGGTTTTGGGAAGGCAAATGGAGAGGAGGAGGTGCACTTTGAGGTGTTACTGCTACACCCTACCCGTAATCTCTGGATCAAGCACACAGTTATCACATACTTTGCAGAGTGTCACCCATTGCGACAGGCTGTGAAGTCATGATGGTGGTTTCAGGATAACAAGCATCTCAGCCCAGTCTGAACACAGTGCAAGGTGTCTTTAACCATCATCACCTCTTTTACATTTTATTATCTACTTTTATTTTATGTGAGTGTTTTGCCTGGATGTAAATGTACTCATGATGTAATGCCTGCAGAAACCAGATGAGGGCATCAGATCTCCTGGAACTGGAGTTTCAGATGGTTGTTATCTACCATATGTGTGCTGAGAACAAAACCTGGGTCCTCTGTGAGAGCAGTCAGTGCTTGTAACCACATACCACCAGGGAGAAGAAAATATTTTTTTGCTCTCAATTAGACTTACTTTTGTTTTTTTAAATAAAAGAGGCATTGTGTAGGTTACCCACATGCGTGATCATTGGAAAGCGGAAGCCTTTTTTGGTTTTCTGGTGTGTATAAGTCTTGGTAAGGGCCTGGGGGTGGCCTGTCACTTATCACTTCAATGTCACAAGCTTTTCCTCACTATTCTTAAAAAGAAATACACAGAAACTAAATACAGTCTGATTGAACAACAGGAAAGGCTACATTAAACATAGTTCTGGACATCAGTATTAAAGGCTTTATATTGTATTAACAGAATCTATGGTTTTAGGCTATCATGCACAGTGTCTGGCATCCCGAGCTAGAAATGGTATTACTTCAGGTATAATTAATATTATTAGCCAGAATTGTTGTTGAGACTTACCTCAAGGTATTCATTATTCAGTTTGTTATCATTTGAAATAATGTCATCAGGATAGCCGATCCTTTCTTTAATTGCTAAGGCCTGTGAAAATCACAATATTAATAGCGGAGATGATTATATAACTCTGAAATACAAACATCATAATTTGTCCATGACTAGCAATTAAAAAGCTCGATACACAGCGTTTACAAAGGAGTCTCTGACAACACTCAGCTAGTATTTGCAATGGCTCCTTGCTGCATTTGAAAAAATTGAAACAAGTTTGAAACTTAGCTTCTAATGTCCAGTCCTTATAGGCTACAGCGTTCCCATGAAAACTGACCAAAGTCCTTACTCCACATGCAATGCATTTTTATGAACCTCTTCTCTGCAGACCTCTCAGTTTTATAGGGGGTAACATTTAGTGCTCCCATTCTCTCAGGATATAATTATCTTTCCACTTCACTGATTCAGTTGCGAAAACAGATAAGGGCTCTATGGGTTTAATGCTAATGCTCTCCCGAGTATTGGTTCCTTCAGTTTCTGTTCTCCCTGAACGCCAGTCTCTCTTCTCAAGTTAAATGAGTGACATTAACTACATGAGTGGGAAACAGTGTTCTTTGTTACCCTAGTTCACAGTCATCCTTTGTTTGCTACTATTTATAATTTTAATTATTATTATTTTAATTTACTTTATTAATTATTCCACTACTTATTATTGCTTATTTCTGTTTGCTATTTCTTTTATTTTTTAATCTCTCTCTTGTTTCTTTGTCAGGCCATATATAAGTACCCAGGAACCAGGTAGTTTGTAAAGGACTGAAGACATTATGCTAAGCAAAACTGTCTGTTCCCATAGAGCTCACTGGAAAGAGCAAGATGAACAGTGAAATAAAAACATCCCTACCTTCCAGGGTAGGGCCAGATCAGGGGGTACTTTCTTATAAGTGTTTCCTAAACCACTTTGACCTGGGGACTCTTTTGTGGAACAACTTGCAAGTCCAGTGTTTTGTGGTGCCACTTTGGAAATGCTGATCTAAAACAATCCAATTGCCTACATCAAACAAGGCTATTCCACAGACAGCTAATCCAGGACAGGATCGACCAACCCGAACATCTAAAGAACCAGATGGCATGAGACAAAGACAGATCTATTCAAGACGTACATTCTTGATCTAACCCAACTCCGGCTTCTTTGAGATCTGAAAAAGGACAGTTCTTTGAGATTTAATTCTGAAACAGAACTAGACTGAATGTTGATTATCTCATTGCATTAGTTTATTATCGACTCCTATGGCAGTCCAAAGAGAAAGCTGTATTATTTTCTTTTGCCTCCCCAACAACATAGGATAATTAGGTTTCATGAGAATGCTGCTCAGTAGCACATTTTTGGTTTTCGTGGCTACATACACACATGTGTATATATAATCATAATGATTGCAGAAAATTTAAAAAATTTCTTAGTAAATAAATCTTACATTTATTCTTATGCAAAATATTAAAATTCCAGTAAAAGCTGCACATAAAATGTAGATAAGAATAAAGCCACGAGGAATAGCTATAAAAGAGCTTCCTCTGGGCTGGGCGTGGTGGTGACACCTTTGATGCAAGCCCTTTCCAGAGGCAGGTGGATCTCTGTGAGTTCAAAACCAGCTTGGTCCGTAGAGTTCCAGGCCAACCAGGGCTACATAGTGAGACCCTGTTTCACACACACACACAAATAATAGAGACTGGTGTGCTACCTACTGCACTAATGAGGCTCCTTTCATACAAATAAGAGAGAATATTCCGCATCCCTTTCAGTCTAAACAAGGCAAATTTTAAACGTGTAACTAGAATTTTACATTGGAAATTAAGACGGCATTTTGTGGTACTGGTAGAGACCTTTTATGTTATTTTTTACAGGAGAAAAGTATGAACCTCTGATTTGTCATCCTTAAATTCATTATTAAAAGCCAGGCATGGTGGCACATCCCTTTAATCCCAGCACTCAGGAGTTAGAAGCAGGTGGATCTCTGTGAGGTGGAGGCCAGCCTGGTCTACATAGCAATTTCCAGGCCAGCTAGGGCTACAAGGAAACCCTGTCTCAAAAACAATCATTATTAATCCATATAAGATTTTATTATTATTTTTATCCATGAAAAATTTCCTGAAAATACATTTTGAAATAGTTTACAGTGTATGTATGTTTGTCCACATGTGTACATGTTTGTGTGGGGGGGTGTGTATGCATGTGTGCATGTGTGCATGTGTGCATGTGTATATGCATCTCTGTGCACATGTATGTAGAGATTAGAGAATAATCTTGTCACTCCATCCATTTTTTGGTTGATGGTTGTTTTTTTTTTGAGACAGGGTCTCTGACTAGCTGGAATTCGAAAGTTGCTGGGCTGGCTCACCAGTGAGCCCCAGGGATCCCCCTGTCTCTGCCTGCCAACGCTGGGATTACAAAAGTGTGCCACCCTGTGGTCTTCTTTTACTTCGGTCCTAGGGATTGAACTCTTGCTTACAGGACAAGAACTTCACATATATATTTTTGTCTTTTTGAGACAGGGTCTCCCTGTAGCCCCAGCTGTCCTGGAACTCACTATGTAGACCAGGCTGGCCTTGAACTCACAGAGATCTGCCTGCCTCTGCCTCCCAAGTGCTGGGACTACAGGCGTGTGCCACCACGCCTGGGGAGAGCAATATTGTTAAAGGTAATCTTCTATAAATCAACTTCCTTTGGCAGCCCTGTGTGAGCTTTACCTTCTCCTCAGCCTTCTTTTTTGTCTCAGCATCCATCCAGGTGAGGTCATCTAAAGTCTGAATAAAAACTTCCCGGATTTGTGCAATCAAATCTTCAACCTCAAATCAAAAGAAAATATAGTCCATTAATGTAGTCTGATGTAAAAACATAGTCCATTAACTTATTCTTCGCCACACAGTTTTGAAAAAAAGAGCGACATGCTTTTCTCATACATGTGAGTTCACTAACAATTGTAAATTATAGGTGAGTAAATGGATGTATGGGGCCATTGTATTGGAAAACAGTACTGCTACTATCAAAATCTCCCAGTTAAGTAGGTCTTATTACATACATTAAAATAAATAATCATCTTCAGAATGTACTGGTTCCTACTATCCTTTTAGAAGAAACAACAATATTGGATGTCAGTGCCATTAGTGGTTTAATTAAGCATGACTTGGCATTTCAAAAAAAAAAAAATCCTTTCATGATGCCTCTAAGTTCAATTGTCTTTATTTCAGTAGAAAGGAAAGCAAGGCACCTTTCTTCTACATCAAATAAACTCTGGGTTACTTTGTTAGAATTTAAGAAAATGGGCAATTTGGGCAATAGAAGAGTTTATAAATGACTATGTCAATCAAAGATAAAACTGCGTTTGCTCAATTCACTGTTTCTGGAAAACATGTAATTTTCAGTTAAGCAACATGAATACAGAAACATGGCTAGAGTCTTGGGGAGCACAAGGTAGAAGCCATTGGGAAACAAAGGCATATACTGTGGTCCAGAGGCTATGTGCCTCATTAATAAAAATTTAGTTAACACATGAATCACTGGAATTCCCATCAATGCAAACAAACTGCTAGTATGCTGCATACATCCAGCATGCCATGGTGACACATTACCACGTGCTTGCTCTCTCCGGCAAATGCTGCTTCCACATAAAGCCTGCCCACAGCATTCTCCATGTTCCCATTGACATAGTTGGCGCAACGTCTCCACGTTGCTGTTTCTGATGTTGTACCATACAGGGCCTATGAAAGAGAAAAAAATGACTTCTAACTGGAAGTCAGGGATGGCAAACAGTAAGAGCGCACAGTTCATAAGACTCTAGTCTTTATGTCTCACCTAAGTTCCTGCAATATTTATTGCTCCCACCACAAAATAGGCTTCCCTAACCTCTGATAAAATGTAATCTGACTATATTGTTTGCTTAAAA